ACAATAAGGAGTAGTCTCTGTACGAATAGAACTGATTTTCTAGAACTCAAATCCACCAGACCACACGCCCCTGGAAGCCCCTGAATAACCTCAAAGAGGGTATTGCCAAGCCTCGACCTAAATGCCAACTAGGCCCAGATCCGCTATTTTCCTTGGCCTTTTGATCCATTGGAATTCACACATTGGCCAAGAATATTTCGGCGGTCTGGATCGTTGAGTTGTCTTTGATTTGGGCAGTTTCTTTGTGTTGTACGGAGCACCGAGCATGATGGGCGTTGTTCATTTACCACACGAATGCGAACCAAGAACGTGGCAAGACTGGGCCTCAAAATACACAATTACATCACATTCTACCCAAACTTATTCAACCTTGTCAATAATCCAACTAATCTGTGGGGTAATTATCTGAAACAGACCAGACTAGCGAGTGAAAAACAACTGGTGCAAAACGGGCACAACATGTCTAATTCAGGAGTCAGACGCTAGCGATGGCAGTAGTTCGATAATAATAATACATACGGAAAGTACGGAGTACATAGCGGTAATCTCCGCAAGACACACTATTCTCGGCCGTGCCCCAGCATCCGTGATCTACCCCATGGACGAGTTTTGATCGTCAGTCAATGGGATCCAGACTCCCATCCTCAAGATGATCAACATTCTGCATATGAAATAGTAGATGGTCTGTTCGTTATACACTTGCTGCTTCCATTGCCTGCACACCGTATATAAACCTGTAAATAAAGCACTATCAGTGCGGGCGTCGGTTATATCGGGTACTCAGGCTACAGTGTTATTTTTATTTTGCTCTGGCAACGACACTAAGTAAATGCCTATGCCCCGAGTAGAAGGTGATTCGTAGTCCACACGGTCATCCCCATTCGGCGCGATTAATTAATTGAACAGTTCAAGCTTCGTGCCCCGTTTATTAACTGTTTTTGACTTTAAATTAGGCCGGGTGATCGGCCAGTTCATGAGTGCGTGCCTGCGGCTTGCTGGATGGAGATCGTCAGGGGAGGTAGAAAACAGCGCATAGTTAACAACAAAGGGTATGTGTTGTTTCCTTAGAGCAGAGTATATGTTGTATGTTGATATGAGAACAATTTGGGTTGGGGGAAAACATGGGGATTGGAGGGACTTGTTGTGATGGGATATGTGCCCGGTTCGGTGGTAATCCGAGACATTGGTACTCCGTATTAGGGAAAAGTAAACAGAACTTCTCGATACGGAGTACTGCGTACTCGTATGTCGTAGGTAATCCATAAGATTGAATGATACCCGTATTGTGATTTTATAATATAGATCGGCAGGGCGGAAATTAGAGGCTGCATTTTAGCCAATCAGAGTTCGAGTTAAACCCCAATTCAGCTTTCACCTTTCCTCTTCGGGACTGGCTGAGGACGCTATGACAGCCAGCCCCACATGGCGCAGGAAGAGAATTTCCTGTTTTCTATGGTTTTTGACTTTGGGCTCTTGGGGGGGATTTCTCTGTCTGACTTTGCAATGAGACATTGGCACGAAGCCATTTTACAGCTCCACACATTCTTTGGATCTTTGCTTTGGAGACATTTCTTTGGGCTGCGTAACCGGGAACCGAAGGTTGAACGGGGGCTTGCCACCGAGTCAGCCACAGAGGGGCGATAGTGGTACCTTACATGGTCTGACAGGAAATATGAAACCTTGGCCTCGTTTTGGTATAATGTGGCTGTTTAAGCGGTTAGGAGTCGGGAAACTGGAGGACGACCCTCACAGCGGTAAGGGGAAGACTATTCTGGGTGTGAGACAGGATCACTATTTTCGACGCTGGGGCTAAAGGCTGAGAGGAATAGGAGAGAAGGCAGTGGATGATCCGTGCGGGCAGTGTATGTATTGATAATAATAGTGTTCGAATACGGGATGGGATACAAAGTACAACATACAGAGTATTGGTTCCGATTGTAGATAAAATGACCGTTGGGCGAGAATATAATTTGGTGTTTTGCACCTGCGCATTATTATGATCTGACTCTTAGTCACTGTACCTGCATGTGCCTAATATGGTGCATATGAAATCTGACTTGAATTTGCAAATGGACTCTCAATGTACAAAGTACTGTATAGAACCAATGTATACAAAAATACACCATGCACTCTCCACTCTTGCCCGAGCCGTGTGGGCCAACCACAAGCAGCCAATGTTCGGGTGTCGAATAAACAGCCAATCAGATCGATCGTGTCCCTGAAAACACATCTAGACTCGTCCAGGGGTAATCTTAGGGTAAATTAAAATTCATAGGAAATTCACGATCGGTGGACCTGTATCGGTGCAGACCAGACTAGGGCCCTTTTTTGGGTCTTTTTTCTCCTTTTCTCTTTTTTCCCCCTAACTCCCCCGGTAACGATTTCTCCAACAAAAGGCCTTGCGTGCCCCCGATCACTGTCCTTTTACCTTCTCACCCACGTTCCTTCAATTCTATACCACCGCTTCACTCGTTCAGCGGGCATTCATTCTTTTGCGTGGATATTATCATTTCCATAATGAAGGGATCTATCTTCGCCGCCGCCGCCTTGGTCGGCTCTGCCATGGCCGACGGTGTTCACCGTCGCCATGATGCTTTCCACCAGCGTCGTGAGGCCTCCGCCAGCGTCTGGTCCTCCTCCGTCCCTGCCGCCGAGGAGACCTGCGGCTGCACCACCAAGGTCATCACCTACTACGGCGATGCTACCCTGGTCCCCGTTGAGACTATTGCCCCTCCCTCTTCTACTTCTACCTCCACCCCTACCCCCACCCCCGAGTCCACCAGCACTCTCACCAGCACTGTGCACTCTACCAGCACCAGCACTCTGACCGTGACTGTCTCCGGCTCTTCCTCGGCCCCCGCCTCCTCGGCCCCGGTTGCCTCTACCACCCCCGTTGCTAGCACTCCCGCTGTTGAGCTGCCCACTCCCGGTGTCAGCACCTTCTCCACCACCGGTGTCTACACCATCCCGGCCACCACCATCACCGTCCACGACACCACCACTGTCTGCGGTGCCACCTCCACTGAGGTCCCCAGCGGTACCCACACCTACGGTGGTGTTACCACCATCGTCGAGACTGCCACCACTGTCGTCTGCCCTTACGCCACTGTCAAGCCCTCCGGCAGCACCGTGACCAGCGTCATTGAGACCACCACCTACGTCTGCCCCTCCGCTGGTACCTACACTGTTGTGCCTCCTACCACCACCACTGTGCCCACCAGCACCGTTCTGGTCTACCCCACCCCCCCAGACCATTGTCCCCGGTACCTACACCCAGGATGAGAACATCGTCACTGTGACCCGCACCGACTACACCTACATCTGCCCTGTTGCCACCAGCAGCCTGGCCTCGACCTCCTCCGCCGCTGCTGTCCCCACCACCGTTGCTGCCACTACCACCACTGCCGCTCCCGTTGCCACCAGCACCAGCACCAGCTCCGCCTCTAGCTCTGCTTCCAGCGTTGCCTCCAGCTCCTCCACCACCTCCGCCGCCACCTCCACCGGTGTCCCCACCGTTCTCGGTGAGGGCCAGTATGGTATGACTTACTCTCCCTACACCTCTGCCGGTGAGTGCAAGACCAAGCAGGAGGTTCTGTCCGACCTCAAGGTCATCAAGGGCAAGGGCTTCAACCTGATCCGCGTCTACTCCACCGACTGCAGCGGTCTCGAGTTCATTGGTGACGCCTGCAAGGAGCTCAGCCTCAGCATCATCATGGGTGTCTACATCGACGGCTCCGGTATCTCCGCTGCCCAGGAGCAGGTCACTGAGATCGCCAAGTGGGCCGAGTGGGACATGGTCAAGTTGATCGTTGTCGGTAACGAGGCCATCCAGTCCGGCTACGTTGATGCCGCTTCCCTGGCCTCCTTCATCAAGTCCGCCTCCTCCAGCTTCAAGGCTGCCGGCTACACCGGTGTCATCACCACCACTGAGCCCATCAACGTCTGGCAGCAGTACGGCGCTGCCACTCTTTGCAGCGCTGTCGACATCGTCGGTGCCAACATCCACCCCTTCTTCAACGCCGATGTCACCGCCGAGAAGGCTGGTGAGTTCACCAAGGGCGAGTTCGAGGTTCTCGAGAAGATTTGTGGCGGAAAGGACGTTATCAACCTCGAGACTGGCTGGCCCAACGCCGGTGACGCTAACGGTGCTGCCGTCCCCGGTACCGCTCAGCAGGCTACTGCCATCAAGTCCATCGCCAAGGCCGTTGGCTCCAAGTCCATCTTCTTCTCCTACTCCGATGACGCCTGGAAGAACCCCGGTGAGTTCAACGTTGAGCAGCACTGGGGTTGCTCCGGAGTCTTCTAAGCGTGACGACTCTCCCATGGATTTTTGAATTTTTTTTTGTTTAGTTCTGCAAATGCAAAACTTGTACAGGAGGACTTGGAGTTTTACCTTTCTCTGGCTTGGTGGTGTGTCTACGGACTCCGATCGGCCCTTTCTTCCCTTCTTGGATTCTATTTTAAATTTGACTCCTGTGGTAGATACACCTTTTATTTGACGTTGTCTACTGACTGTGCACCTTTTTGATCTCCTTATTCCTGTTTTTAGTTTGTATATTGCCTATTTATGCCTTCTTACGAGTTTTGATTCTGGTAGCCTTTTCTTCATGACGTAGTATGTACCCCGTATTTGCCGTGTCAGCTTTGTACTTTGAACTCAGGGTATCCCTGTCTTTCATTGCTTATGTTGCAAATCCTCTTCCTATATCGGTTCTCATACGATCAGTTGTCAATGGCTGACATCATGCAACCTGCGCCCGAGACATTGGGGCGGTGCATACGATCCCCAACACCGAGGTCAACACAAGCCATGGGATCAAACTAACGTCTTCAGTTTCCCATCCCCCAGGATAAGACTTTGAACTCCCAACAAAGACAAAAATTGCGCCAAAGAACAAATATCGCTCCTTCTTTCCTGTCAGGAACCAACACCAGAACAAGAACCAGAACCAAATCGAATCCGAATTCAAACCACCATCAAACTCCCTCAATCTCTCACAATGGCATACCCATTCCCATTCGAATGCGAGCCCTTCTACTTGCGCCCCTTCCTAATAGTCAAGTCTATTACCGGGGTATTCTTCACGATATTGATCAACTTCGTCATCCCAGTAGCCGTGGCATTGGCCATAATATTCGTCATCGGCTTGGTACTTTTCGCTATACTTGCCGTGGTATTTGGATGGGGTCCAGATTCCGAGGAGATTAAAGCGAAGAGAGAGAAAGAGAAGAAGGAACGAGAACAGAAAGAGCGAGAACACGAGGAGAATCAGAACCAGGGAAAGCCAGATGCAGAACTATTCACTGCTCCTCTTCCCGCAACCGCAAGTGGTCCTGGTGGTACTACCTATGACCTGGAGAAGCGTCTTGAGATTGAGCTTGAACTTCTTGGGGAGATGGTTGTTGCTCGGAGGGAGAGGTTGGCGGCTTTGAGGATGACGCATTCCGGAGATGAGGCTGAGTATTTGGAGGTTTTGGAAAAGCTTGAATAGAACTAGTAGTACCGACATAACTACCTAGCTACCTAGGTATGTGCCACCTTCCAAGTTTGTTGGGTAGCGGATATCTATACTTCCCAAATAGGAAAGGTAGTCATCTGACTTTCCCCGGACCAGAGTTCTTTCCAACTTTGAATGGACTACACATTTCAGGGCACTGACATGACTTCTTATCTTCCGTCTTTCTCTTCTCCATCTGAACCTCAGCTGTTACCAAGATACTTCTGTCACTTGCATCTCACAAATTCCAGGGCACTGGCGTGGCTCGTTGCTACGACTACTATCCATCTTCTCTTCTCTCAAGACCCCAGCGATCACGGACATACTCCTATCACCTGTATCACGAATCGAGTCAACCAAATCCGACCCGAACAGCCAAATCTCACTTCAACCCCTCTCTTCTGATTATTCATATACCGCTCAACATGGAGCAATTTGCGGACGAATTATTCGGAGACAGGTTCAGTGAATATCCCCTCCTTCTCCATCCATTGTACGGGACTATTATCTTCGTCAGAGAGGGGTTCAAATCATTCTACTACATTTTGTTGCCCGGTGTCGTCGCTTACGCCATCCTTATGGGAGCTGTTGCATTGCTAGTCATTTTAATTCTAAATATTGCAGAGATGGCAGGAAGCCTGCGAAAGAACGACGAGGGGACACGAAAGAAAAGTGGCGACGAAAATAGGGCCCGGGGCAGTGTCGAACGTCGTCTCGAGGCTGGCGAGATCAAATTTTGAGATTGATGTCTTTGACCATTTGTCGCTGGACGATATGGGTGGAAAAGACGACTGAAGAATGGATCTCCTTTGCTCCTTTGTTGGAAGTCTTGCGTCTATGGGATGTTTGTTCGTGGAGTTTGTTGGATATCATTTCCAGAGGTTGTGTGTTCTTGGGCTGTCTTCTCGAGTGATCCGCCATCTGTCGAGGTCAAGCTGAGCCATGCGCAAAGAGGAACGTTACACTAGGGGCTATCTTTTGTAATAGCCGCATCAGAGTGAAGCTATTGATAGTTGTTTTATATTTTTAAGTAGGCTAGGAAGCCTACAAATGCAAGGATTGTGAATTTGTGATATTCAAGAGTTATATACCATTAACAAGACAGATAAATACAAGTGAAGCATCGGGCATAAGGCCAGGGTAATAATTCCCCTGTCCATGTTGCATCCTCATGCCAACTCAAAAGGCATCATGGTTGATCAGGTAGGTCCATCCCTCCTTTTATCATATTGTAACCCCAAGCGAAAAAAAAAAAATCTTATAGTACCGTGCAAGTCTGTCATTCCCATTAGTATCTTGGATCGAACAAATGACAGTAGATAACGCGTCGGGGTCGTTAGGTACTTACACCGTTGGATCCGCAAGTGAGTCCCTCACAGCAGCACCCTTCAACAGCGCAGTTAGCAGCTATGCAGGCCATCGAGACCTAATAGCATCATTAGAAATTGTTTCCCCGTGTTGTTTAGCATTTTAGCCATTGTGCAGACTCACGGATTGGCAGGCGATTTCGGCTTTAGGGTATGCTTCAGGGAGCGCGACAGTGAGAGTGGCGAGGAAGCCGAGGATAATGACGGAGGCACGCATTTTGAATTGGTAGAAGTTGGAAGAAAATTGGAAATGGGGTATCTAAAATTAAGACAAGGAAGGACTAAGTCAGCGACCGAGTCAAGTATAATAGAAGATACGGTGAAAACGCCCACAATATGCGGGTTCAGACTGGATGCAAGGGCAAGGAAATGATGCAAAACAAAACATACATTGAGAAAAAGTAACAGTGAAGCAGGAAAAAAAAAGTGAGATTGAATAACGGGGTATTTCAATATTGAAACCAGAAAAGTAAAGACGAACGCATATCAGGCTCCATCAAAGTCTTATAGCTTGCAGGCGTGGAGCACTGCAATGACACACGCCACGCACCAGCGCGAAGATCTATCATTGTCTCGCCTAAAACAGGGCCATTGGGGGATCTACAGGGGCAGATGTGGGATTGATCGGCACTGATTGGATGATGGCTGGGGCCGCCTTGTCGTTCTCGCGGGCGGATGCCCTACAGCGGGGATTGTTTGCGTCAGTGAATGCAACATCCGAATACATACGACGTTGCTTGATCCTGTTTGATTATAAAGTAATGAAGATTTAATTTAAGAGGAGGGGGCTGTTTTTTTGCCTCCTGGTATATACGGCGGGAAATGGTGTGTAGAACAAAAACATAACAAGCATACCCGCTGACTTCATTGAGTATGAAGTCATTGATAGTGGCGGATGGAGAAGTCCTTGTGTGATTGTGCAACTTGGACCATGTTAATGATCTATAGCTGACGCTGGCGGCTGTGCTCATGGTTCGAAGGACACAAGCATCGTGCACCCCAGATGTGACTTGAATGGGGCTGTTAGCAACGCAGCCGACAATGTCACCAGCCGCTTGGTATTCTAATAGTTGTAAGGGGTATATGATGGTGCACCAGCCGAGAATTGTGTTCCTGCAGCCTTGGCGGTGACACACGGAGCTTGCGTGGGCTCCCTAGATGGGAAAGGATATACTGCGTGGTGGGTCGTGGTAGCTAGGGGGCTGGGGCCATAACACTGGATTGGTGTGCTGCGCTGGGGGATTTCGTGAGATATCATTTTAGGGAGATAAACATAAATTTTGGATGGGCGAAAGAGCATAAGCAACGGGCTATTGATATTTGATGTGGTGAAGGTGATACATCACCTGGGCATGGAAATTAGGCACTCAGGAATTATTAATTATTGAGATATGTGACCGGAACATCATGACTCCGATCTGAGAATCTAAACAGGAAATATATACCGCCATACATAGATGGGACAAATGTATACCCTTTCTCAAAGACTATATATACACGCCAAGCTACAATATCTTTGACCAAGTGTGATAATAGACTTGTAGTATTAGTTGGATATCACAAAGCCAGCCAGCACGACATTCTTACCTTTAGCCAGGGTCCGCGGACTAACTTACTACCGCCAGATTGTCCTGCAGAATAGCATTGCTCTATAAGTGTTTGGCTACTATTAGATATTTGTGTCACGGCCAAGCTAAATTCCTATTATGTTATGGCATCTAAGGAGAGCCTCTTTGTGTAGACCATCATTCAACTCCGAGTTCTTATCAATCTCTTCATCACAATTCAACATGTTGCCAGAAGAAACATTCCTGGGTGACAAATTTCCTGAAAGGCAGTTTCAGTCTTAGTTCATCCAGAAAGACTTTTCTTCGGATCCTGATGGTCTCCCGACCCAATTCTCCTAAAGCCGGATCTAAAAACATCCACCTGAGCCGGCTTCAAACCTAAAGGTAGGTTGGCTGCATAAACTGATTCCAGGAAGACTTTTCAACTGTGAAGCCGTCATCATCGACCTGGAAGACATCCATATCTCTGCATGAAAGTACCAAAGCTTTAGCAGCCAATCACGGCCGGACGCGCGGTTTGATGGTTGATTAGTTGATTATATCAGGCGAGTATATGAGAGTTTTGCGAGGCTCCACCCCAACAAGAAACAGACAGCCCCTGGAAGTTTCTGTTCGATTGTTAAACATTTTTCTGGGGGCTATCTGACGGAGCGGCATTGCCCCGACCAGCATAGCGGCTCGGGAAGCGGGTACTAGTGCGAACGAGGGTCGGCGGGTCCAGACCTGGATTGTGATTGGTTCCTGGTCGACATATGCTCCATGGCAACAAAGCTTGGCAGAGCCTGGAAATAATGGCATCGTCTTTTATACAAAATTACAACTTCAGAAGAACCGACGAACACACTCTTTAAGGGGAATTCGGTTAAATTCCAGTCGAAATGTCTCCGAGCCTATTCGCAATCTGATTTCAAATCAACCTGGAAAATTCGCTAATCAATATTAATGACCTATATCAATTTCCCTTTCCCTTTTCAACGCCATTGCCGATGGGTGCTTAAATCCAGCATCCTCCAGACTTATTTTGACCCCCAATTTCAGGATTCTGGTGCTTTTTTCTTTTGCTCCGAGTTATTGCACCCACCAAAAAGGAGTCGTGGGTATCCTGTGCGCAACATACTTTTCTGTTCATCTGTTTCTCCATAATCCCCTCATTTACTCTATGTTCCCAAGTGTCCTGCGCCAAGAAGAAAAAACCCCTGAATCATGTCTTCCACGGATAAAGCTAGAAATCGCTTTCGGATACCTCTATACCGGCTAGTGCTATCCCAGGATATCATCACCGACGATGTCCTCAACCACGAATGGGAAGGAAATGGCACGGCGGAAGATCCTTACTTGGTCGACTGGCTTCATGAAGATGCTCGCGATCCCCATCAAATGCAAGATTGGCTAAAATGGTCCATCACACTTTTACAAGCCGCTTCGTTTCTGTCCATTACTTTCGCTTCGTCTGCTCTTTCAGCAGCCAACCCCCAGATTCAAGAACGCTTCGGTGCCAGCACTGAGCTAGTTGTTGCCGACACCTCACTTTTTGTTCTCGCCTTTGCCATCGGGCCAGCTATCTGGGCTCCGCTTTCTGAGCTCTGGGGTCGTCAGATAATCTACTTCGTCACGTACGGATTGACTACAATATTTGCTGGGGCAACAATTGCAAGTCCGAACATTGCGACATTGTTAGTACTACGATTCCTTGCAGGCGCATTTGGTTCCTCAGCAATTTCAAATGCTGGAGGCGTGGTTTCAGACATGTATACTGCCCGCGATAGAGGGCTGGCTACAATCGCGTTTATTGGAGCCCCCTTCCTAGGTCCTAGTCTCGGACCAACTACTTGCGACTTTTTGGCAGTGTCCAAGGGCTGGGAGTGGGTTCAAGGTCTTACAACAATCTTCAATGGGGTAGTGTTCCTGCTTGGGATCGCTTTTATCCCAGAGACTTACACCCCCGTCCTGTTGCAGAAGCGCGCTGCCAAGCTCAGTAAAATAACCGGAGCAGTGTACAAGAGTCGCCTAGACGTTGGGAATGTGAATCGGACTGCTGGCCAAATCTTCACCAAGACCATGGTCCGACCCTGGATCTTGCTTTTTATGGAGCCGATTGTGCTGCTTTTGTCTATCTACATGGCTATCAGTAAGTTCTCTCAATTGTTCATCTGTTGTTATTAAACGCTAACACAATTATCAATAGTTTACGGAACGATGTACATGGAATTTGCTGCCTTCCCTATTGTCTTCGAAGAAAATCTCAAATGGCCACAGAGCACCTCCGGCCTGTCCTTTCTTGGAATGATGATCGGGCAGATTCTCGGGTGTGCATATTCAATCCTCGACGACAGTCGGTATAAGAAAGTCGCCGATCGCACAGCCTACGGCCGTCCACCTCCCGAAGCTCGGCTCATTCCGGCGATGGTCGGAGCAGTTACCCTACCTGTCGGACTATTTTGGTTCGCCTGGACCAACTTCCCACACATCCATTGGATCGTCTGCGAGATTGGAACAGTGCTTTTCGGATTCTCCCATGTATCCATCTTCTTGAGTGTGGTGAACTACCTGGTCGATGGGTATACTATTTACGCCGCATCGGCGTTAGCGGGTAACGCTGTAATCCGGGCCCTTTTCGGCGCTGCATTGTATGTCTTCACTCTCTCTATTCCCAACCAAAGCGTGACAAGGGAGTTAATGTGATACCTATATAGCCCGCTCTTCACAACGCCAATGTACCGTAATCTTGGTATCCATTGGGCCTCCTCAATCTCGGCTTTCCTCGCTGTAGCTTGTCTGCCATTCCCATGGATTTTCTACAAATACGGGCCAGCAATTCGCCGCCACTGTCAATACGCTTCGGAATCTGCCCAGCAACTGGATGAAATGACCGACAGGATACGTGCACAGGCTGAGCAGAGAATAGCTAAGCAGAAGCCCGGGAGTCGGACAGATTCTGGCTTGGATCCGACTACTTCTCCCGATGAAAAGAATACCGGTGCAGCTGAGGGCAATAAGCTGGCGTGAAGCAAAGTTGCCGTTGTACATTGAACCATTTTATATGGCCACTATGCACAGACTAATATCAACTAAGCTCGATTTTAATATGAATGGCTTATCTATTCTAAAATTCGATGACTACTGCCTGCGACAGTATTATCCAGGACGGAAATTCTTGTGTTGAATCTATTAAACAGACTTCCTGGAGGCTTGAATAACATCACTTATTTAATTACTTTCTCTATAATGGGAGGAGTGCGGGTTTGGATTTGCGTTCCAGCTACTACATAGCTATATAGCACATAAGACGTCACTATAACGCTAGATGAATAGGATCAACCTATAATTCACTTGGGCCTTAACAGAATAAACAATTACTTTGTAAGATTTGACGCAAACCTTGTTCATATGCTTTGATTGTGGGTTTCGTCACGGATATGAGATATAGTTTCTGAACCGATGGCTTTCTTTGCCTTAGGGATAGGGTTCGTGGCGTGTGTGTGTGTGTGTGTGTGTGTGTGACAACTACTGATTCATGTGTTGCAACCCTTTTCTTCTTTTCATAAAACGACATGATACCTACATAACAATAATGGAGCCACTCTCCACCATGAAAACTGCCCAATCCATCCATACACCTCATCCAGCCCTATCTTGGGTACTTCTGAGTGCGAACTAAGAACTCGGCTCCTCAAACACCTGCGTCCACGGCGCCGCCTCTCCAAAGTTCGGTGTCCCATCACTATTACTCCCCACCGGCTGCACCATCGTATACCGACTATCATCACACGCCCCCTCACTATTCGTCGTCGCATGGAAGGCAGTCCACACCTCCGTTCCATCCGGACTCTGGAAGAAGCTGTTATGTCCTGTGCCGTAGTTCCCGTTGCTCGAGTCCAGTAGACATCCATCTGATTTCGTCCACGCACTGGCCTGGGTGGGGTTCGTCGTGCCATCCCAGGTCAGGCTGGCTAGGCAGTAGTATTGTGTCCAGCAGTAGGAGGCGGAGTATACGATCCGCGTCTGTCCGTTTGTGTACAACGCCGCGGGACCTTCCTGCACGGGGGTGCCGTGGATTTCGAAGTCTTCGGTTGGTTCCGAGATGACGGTGATGTCGCCCGTAACGGAGATGAAGTCGTCACCGAGCTTTTGCATGCAGAGCGACTGGTAGGTGACACCATGGAAGCAGGAGAAGACAAGGAAGTTGCCGTATTCGTTGAAACGGACTATGGTCGCGTCGATGCCCCATTCTGTTGTTAACTGGGCGCCGTAGGACCAGGAGTCCCAGGGGGTGCTACCTCCTACACCTCATAGTTAGTTATTCAATTCTCCGGTGGGGCCACAGGGAAGGGGCTAGGTGGGTATCTATACCAGCTAAAACGTGCGACCTCTGCCCATCCAGATTATCCGCGGTCCCAGCAGTGTAGTAGATATACCATTTATCGCCGAGATAGTGCAGCTCCGGGGCCCAATTATTGCAGCATCGCGAGTCGTTATCGGTCGAATAGACGACCTTCGTCTCGCCATCCTTCAGACCGTCGATGCTGGTAGACCGGGTGATTTGCACATCCGTCCATGTCGTCGTCAGGAGGTAGTAGTATCCGCCCGAGTAGACGAGACTGGGATCGCTGCCTCCGGGGTTTCGGATCGGGTTGGTGAATGCGGAGGTGAGGGCCCCGAAGGAGAGGATCGTCTTGATTAGTGAGGAGATGATGCGCACCATTTTCGTGGTCCGGTCCAGTTCGGTTCTTGATGCTGGCTGGATTTATTGGTGCAACGATCAATCCCTCCCGTTCTTATATACCTTTATCCGTGTCTTTCCAAGACTGCCCAGCCATTACAATGACGAGCCTTTGGGCAGAAGGCGATGAGCCCCGCTGGGAAGTAACCATTCGCATCCATCCGTTCTCATTGTGAGGAATGGCGTCTGTGGCCGAAGCTGCCTCCGGGCTGTTAATATACCCCCACAGACGCTCGTCCTCTACCATATTAATCCACCACTCAGTATGGTTTTCTTTGGCTGGGGACGTTCTTTCGGTCCCGCTTGGTTTAAGGCCCGTCCATACAGAGTTGCTAATTTGATACAGGTGGATTCTCCGGGGAGACACTCATTTGGGTTTCTACGTAGGTACGGAGGTCTGGCTCAGGCCAAGTCCGGTGGCACGCTCTACGTTTGTGGACCCGGACTGCGGGGTTATGAGGGGAGGCTCTTGGCTGTCCACATCGGAGGAATTTCGGTCAATTTATTTGTTGAGAAGTGTTAGCCATATCATATATACATATCTCCAGTAAATTTTTCCGACAGGACTGAAGAAAACATCACGAGCTCGTCAATGTCCATTCCGTCCAGCGCTGGTATCGTATTGAAAAACCACATTACTATTAGGGGTTCCAAACCCCCTGCCCGAACGATAGAGAAGTGCTCTACAACCACTTTCTGGCGACTGTGAAACTGGGGCTGAAAAACAAACCACATTGGTGGCCAACCGGGGTGGTGCTAGGAGGGCGAGGGAATTGGTACAGGTACAGAGTCACCCGCTGAGTCCAAATGAGTCCTCAAACAAGACAAACAGCAAAAACCCGTGACATCTGATAAGTTGCATAATTTATGTAATTTGTGTAGTCTAGGGCTTACACAATTTGCTTTCAATTCTTTAATCAGGGTAAAATCAATACTTTCTTTCGCATTTATAGTAGATAGTCAGAGCTTACCAAAGCCTATAGGTGATAGTTTCTAACCGCGGTTAGAAACAGTTATAGTCGAAGAGAGCTTAAAACGCAAAAGTAATTCTGACCGCGGTCAGAAATAGTAGTAGTCAGAGGGAGCTTTCAATATACACCCTTCGTATAAGCGCTGTTCACCAACGGCCAACAATTTCATAGCTATGAAATGCCATATGATGATCTAGGTCTGAGCGATGCCTTCTTCGACGCAGTCAACACCGCATTATCATCATGTCCGGCCTGGGTTGCCCGGTATACCGGAGTTGAGTGTTGTTGGAAGTCAAAACTTCTCTGTTTGCTCCCAGTACATTAGTCTAGCATCTGTAGATAGGCTTCTCCCTTCTTCAAAATCCTCGACTCACCATGGGAGGAGTGGCAGCAGGATGTCCCACGCGTGTAGGCTGGGGATGGCCCTCAGCGGCTGTGACTTCATGTATTGCATTGACTTCTTTGGCGATCTTCTCGGTATCTTTCCATGTTTCTGAACTGGGACATGTAGAAGGTACGGGCCATAGATCAACGATGGCCTCAGTGCCAAGGAAGCGCAATGGATTGGCCGAGTTAATCGTCGTGGGCGTTTGTAAGGGAGTGGATGATGTGGATGAGTGTCAGAGAGGGGAACAGCAAGCAATCTTGCTTTAAGGGTTCCAATACCTTAACATCACTCCAGAACTAGAACATGCTAAAGAGGTTGTGTGGCCAAGCAGTATCTTTTTTTATTTGTATTTTTAGCAACTAAAAGAATTAACCTTTCTCACAAGGGCCTCAAGATGCTCTTCATCCGTACCACAACAGCCCCCTACTACTTTCAGTTCCGGCAACAAATTTAACAGCCCAAAAGACTCTCCAACATAAACGGAAACATCACCTCGATCTAGAACTAGCGTGTTATCAAGCTCTTCGTGGCTCTTAAGGCTTGCGTTCCCACGAATGGACCCGATCCTCAACCTCACATCCTTGGGGAGATCCCGTAATGCCGTCATGATATGACGTGGATGCGCACAATTCACCCCGAAATAGGTTGTATAGTTCTCCGTCAGACGATCCACTTCATGAATTACATCGTCAAGCGTTCTTCCTCCTCGCAGTCGCCCGTCTATCTCGATACTAAACGAGACGTGAATTGGGAGATTAAACTCTCGCGCCACAGTAATTGCTGCGATTCCCTCGTTGAGATTTGTAACAGTCATTATAGATAACATATCGACGCCTTCTTCAGCAAGGACATGAACTTGGGAGCGGTAGTTTTCCTGCGCCCGAGAAAAAGAAATCGTAGAATCCTTATAGGCGTCTTGAAGAGTTCCAAGGGTACCACTGATAACGATAGGAGTGGATGGCGTCTGAAATTCACGTCTCAGATCTTGGAGGATATTGACTGCTTCGCGGTTCAAATCGAGGACCTGTGGGATAGAGAGGCCAAGCTCAGAGGCCCACGATGGAGAGCCACGCCAAGTTCGAGTTTCGAGGACGATGCCGGTTGAATGGGCAAGAGCAATATTTATATAATCCTGGTAGATAGACGTAAGAGCTTTCGTGCCCTCTTTTGTACTGAGAAGTGGGAGAGTAGAGAAGCTAGGAAGATGGATATTCCTTTTGTAGATGAGGGTGGTTTCGATTCCGGCCTCGGTGAGGAAGAGTTTAGAGGACGTCAACTGGGGGAGGGATTTCGACTGCGAAGTCATCTTTCTGAGGCTTTTGTTGAGGGTTACCACGGGTAGCAAAGAACTTTAGACTAAACGTCCACGGGTGAATTGTACAATGAATGAGTCGAGGGAAAGACCTATGGGGAACTAGTTATGGATATATGGAGCACCACCAATGCAATTATGTTGTTAACTAAGCAAATAAGGCGGGCGGTTATTCCCGGTAACTCAACTCAGATGCCCGAACAGGATGTGGGGCGACTTCGGTGATATTGTCAATACCCCGACGGAAAGGTTAGGGTTGGGCCGAACCCCATACCACGCCCATAGCTCTCAAAGTAGCTCGGGCTAGTTAGCGGAGGATGAGGCAACAGAGTTCGACATGGCCAGAAAACGCCATTAGTATGATTCATATTATAAACGTACGTGCACTACTTGTACTATTGTCAAGAGAAGGCCACGCATTAATGTGCATGGTGCAATCAAGAATAATTGATAGAAAAGTTTAGAAATCTATTGCTATGACTTTTGAAAATTATCCTGTAAGGTGGGTGACTATCGCTCATAAATATCATAATAACCAACGACAGAACATAGAAGACAGTTTGGAATGCGTTAGTCGCGGACAACGAAGCCATCCTGGGCTTCGAAGACAGCCTGGGATGACTTCCCAACCAATGACTCATAAATTTCTGGATCGGTAGCACCTTCCAACCCAAACAGCACGACTTGGCTTGAACTATTCAAACCAAGCTTTTCACGCAAGGATGGATCCGTGGTTGATCCCAGCATGATACCCATGCTGGCTGCTGAAGACTCGCCGCATACTACAGGGATATCACCCTCTTCTCCATATGCCAATGCTTTCATACCGTCCACCGCCACAGAGTCTGGGACGGCTATAAAGTCACTCGCAAGCCAGGTGAGCACTTTTAAGGCCGCAGGAGATGGCGTGCGACAGGCAAGACCGGCCATAAGAGTGCGCAAGGATCCTTCAGACTCGCGAGCCTCCTGGCTTTTGGCACTCTGTAACAGGCAGTCTGCCTCGGATGGCTCCACGACAATAAATCGCGGCATTGTCACCGTGGCGGATGCTGCGGAGGATTTTTGAATTTCGCAGACATGTTTGTAAAATCCCTGAAAGATTGCCGCGGCGATGCTTCCTACACCGCCGCACACGAAGACATGTGTGACTTTGTCTACCGCGGGGATCATGCTAAGTGCCTCGTCGAGGACGACCATATAGGCGTTCATAACATGTTGAGGTACGTCGTTGTCAAAGTTGGACCAAGAAGTACTACTGACAAAGTACCACCCGTTCATACGGGCATCCTCCTTCGCGCGTGCCACGGATGCTTCGTATTCCCCATCGACGCGGATAACCACGGCGCCGAGGTTTTTCATCCGGTCAGCCCGGCCATCGCTGACATGACCATGGATATAGTCGACACAACGGCAGCCAAAAGCTTGCGCTCCATACGCGAGACCGCGGCCCTGGTTTCCATCCGTGGCAACGCATACGACGACATTACGCGTGATGTCATGGTATTTGGATGTTCGAAGTTCGGCCGAGGAGGGACGCACGCCAGTCTTCGCATAAACTTCCTCGGACAAAATCATGTAGACAGCATAAGGCGCGCCCAGTGCTTTGAAAGAGCCAATGTCGGAGCCGAATCGCTTGCTTTCATCTTTCACGAACAGCTGATCGACACCCACTTTCTGCGCGAAGCCGGGGAGCGTTCGCAGTGGTTGGGGGCTGTACTCAGGCCAGGTGCAAATTTCTTCAACGGCCATGGCCCACTGAGAGAGATTCTTGATACACATAGCCGCCGCAGACTTTGCCTCATGACCCAAGCGCGCGGGATTAGATATATGGGTGTACTGCATTGTGAGATAGAACACAAGTCACGGGGATATTGTTTTTGTGGTTTCAGAAGGGCAAAACTGACAAAATCAAGCAAGGCCGAGCGAATTTACACGATGGCTGCATTAATGGGTATATATATGCTGCGACCCGCAGCGCGCGCGGCAGCGCCTGCCGATGCCCAAAACTAGATCGAGTAAATAAATATGTTGTGCTACCATCTCAATCATCCCGAGTCCACTCGAAACCTTCAAGTCTAGTCAATCTTTTCTTCGATAGCCTAACTTAGGTGGGTCAGTACGGCAGGAAACCATGACGCCGAGAATAACCTGTGGACACGCCGGGATATCAAGTAAGCAGTCTGGCCTTTCAAGGTTCACGCGTCGGCATTTCTCTCTTCCCCCGGTCTCACCGCGTGACCATACTGAACAATCCTTTCAAAATAATGCAGAATCGTCCAGAGCCAAAGGCGGCGCCATCAGCAGGTCACCGACATAGGTTACCGGCCAATAAAGTCGTTGCGTTAGATCTCCAAGTGATATGCGGTAGAATTTGACTAATACTGCCGTCAGTTGCTACCGATGTCATGCAAAGAAGATTAAATGTACGGGAGAAAAGCCATGTCAAAATTGTCTGCAAGCCGAGCAGGGAAATGATTGCTTGTATCCTCAACGAAACAGGACGGTCAAAGTCCGTCAAAGGTGCCCCTTGCCCCTTACCTCCTTGCTTTCCTACATCACAAACGGAGGGGACTGATCAAGCCGAAGGTTCATCGACGAACTCTTAGAAGAAATCGAGTTTTTGAAGCAGCAACAAAATACCCGGCCGGTCCCGGACAATCATCCTTTAGAAGTAAGCCCGCTCGATGAACATGTGTCCCAAGAAATAGCGGCAGAGCCGACGAGGTCGCAAACCACAGTTCCAGCCCCGCAACCTGCCAGAGTCGAGAATGTCGACTCTGAGATACATCCAACCTTTAACGACGCTCCCTGGTTTGACAATCGAAATGCCTTCCATACACCCATTTTGATCAGCGAAGCTGCGGACACGGCCTTTGCAACTCGATTTCGTCAGGTCATCTCCGACCCTAGGGCACCGGAACCGACCCATCTTCTTCGTGTTGACTATGCAAGCGATGATGCGTTAATGTCCCTCGTTGAGTCCGAGGTCCCGTGGCCAAGCCAATCCCGGGCTCGCTTTTTGCTTGAGGCCGCCTTGAAACATATCAGTCGCTGTTACTACATCGTCCGCGTCGACGAAGTCAAAGAGGGCCTGTCCCGGATTTTTATGAACCCGACTTGGGGCAGCCCAGTTATGTGCTGCAGATTCTGGGCCCTTTTTGCTCTTGGGGAGCTGTACACTTCCAGAGCGGCGGCGATGCAGAGCTACCCGGGAATGGCATACTTTGCCCAGGCATCAAAGATGTTGGGCTACCTAAATGAACGTCCCGGAACCGAGGTTATCGAGACTCTACTTATACTAGTATGCTTATTATCGGGGCTTCGCTTAAGTTAATTGCTACTAACGATGCTATCAAAGTCCATGTACTCACTAGCGCTGAATCGACGGTACAGTGCATATATACTCTCCGGCACAGCCATGCGCTCGGCTATCGTGGTAGGCCTTCATTTCAACATATTAGAAACCCAGCTTTCCGACTTCGATACCCGAGAGCACAGAAAACGACTTTTTTGGACCACGTACATGTTTGATCGGATGTGGGGGGCCAGTCTCGGCCATCCCTCGGCAATTCATGACGACGAGATCGAGGTGGACCTTCCCTCCGTTCTCCCGCTCAGCGACGGGACTGGAGTCGATCAACTTACTAGCAACGGATTTGACTGCCAATACCATGTAGCCCATATTGAGCTAACTCGTCGTTTAGCTAATGTTGTTCGGTCTATATATACACTCCGCCGCAAACAGCTAAATGCGCAACTCTCTTCCCAAGTCCATCAGTCGTTACAGGACCTCCAGGCCTGGGTGAACCGATTACCCCCTCGCTTGCAGATCGACCACACCCCGGGTGCAGTAAACGATTGGAAGGTTGTGTCGCTTCATCTCTCTTTCTACCAAGTGAGTGTCTCTATTCAAGTCCAACTCTATTTGGTCGTATATTGCACGAATGTCTACTTACAACTTGGAAGTGTGTCATTATTGCCACCCGTCCAATACTGCTCCATGCGCTGCGAATTCAAGTTGCTGCGCCGCAGGAAGGTCCAACAGTCTCCTCGTTTCAGGTACCCACGACTGCCCTAGCGTTGTCAGAAGCGTGCGTGCGATGTGCGCGACACTCTGCGCAACTCCTAGCTCAATCCTGGATTGATGGTTTCTTCTTTACCTTTGATTGCTTCTACACTCAATATTTGTTCTCTTCGTTGGTTGTGCTAGCAATAGCAAGTATCCTTGTTGGACAAGACAACCAAGCTGATCGAGACTCATTTGAAGAGGCATCGCATCTCTTGAGAGAGCTCAAAGATGCCGGAAATTGCATCGCTCAGGAATATTGCCACCATCTCGAAGCAATAGAAGCGGCGTTGTTCGCGTATACGAAATCGACGATAGCAGAGCCCCCAGGGTTCCCTGAAGCCCCCACCATTGATGCGACGGCGACTTCTCGGCTTTCCCAAAATATGCCACGAGGGGCGATCTCCACGGCAGGTGTTCCATGGACCGATTCATCTCTGCAGCAACTTCTCTCCCAGCCTGCGCTTGATATGCAGTTTTTAGAGGATGCCGTCAGAGATACTTATTCACAAGGACTCTATCAGCATGATTTTGACTTCAGGGGTTGATAGGCACGCCAACGTCTTCTTATAAATGTCTTCTTATATCGGGCGCCTGTCAAGAACGGCTTCGGAGGGTTCGGTTCCATTATACTCGCTCGCACTAATCCCCATCTGCGCGTGTAAAGACACTTGAGGAAGTTAATAGATGTTATCTGGCCATGATTCCAAAAAGGACACAGGACGAAGTCTGTAACAGGGTATTAAAGGTGTGGGGGTTTTTTTCTTGGGCTTTTTGCTTTTATCCATCGTGTGAGGACGACCATACTTTATGTATGAAATTATCTTTGTAGGCGGTTATTGACCCTGATTGTACAGCTTGATGTATAGACCGCTCCAAGACCTAGAGCTCTTCCGCTATCAAGTGGGCATGTCACACCTGTCTGATTAAAACAAATAACTTGACTTCCGAGTGAATTGAACGATAGTACGGCGGGCTCGGCGCCTCGACATTCTGCCGAGGCTCGGAGACAAACAATGCCGCAACATATTTCAACTCGCCTCTGCCACTTCCATTCTCCTGCTCGTAGTCTGTCTACATGATGAGTGTCCATATATTCTGCCCTCTTGATAATATGCAACGACAGATCAAGTTCTCTCATTGGCAACAAATGTTCAACCAGTCGCACAATTCTTGCCTTCGCTGCCCCGGAATCAATCACTATTTGTCTAGCCTTAAGCCGTCTCGGTCGGCCTCATCATTTTCAGAAGATGGTTAGTCATGATCAGCCGATGCTGGATGTATCTAGACTGTAGCTAATATTCTAAATCTCCCAGACCATTCCTCCACATCCGCTGCCGAGGGTGTCTTGCGGTTAATGCCCCTAGGGGGATCAATTACTCGCGGCGTTGGATCGTCAGATGGGGCAGGGTATAGAGAATCGCTGTTACAGATGCTGAGGATATACGGCATTAATGCTCGGATGGTGGGCTCGCGAAAAGATGGACCCATGCCCAATAATAACCACGAGGGCTGGCGTGGCTTCAGAATTGACCAGATCGAGGGAAAAGCTCGAAAATCCGTAGAATCTTTGTCCCCGAATGTTTTCTTGGTTAACGCCGGCTCCAATGACTGCCTTCAGACCTTCAATATCCCAGAGGCCGGTAACCGCCTGGGTGGTATGCTCGATTATCTGTGGCTGGCTTCCCCTCAGTCCACCATCCTCCTCTCTACTTTACTTGCCAATGCGGACAAAGAGGTGAACTTGAAGGTGATGCGCGTCAACGACCAATTTCGCGCTCTGGCCCAACAGAAGGCGACTGAACAGAAAAAGATCGTTCTGGTGGAAATGGACACACCCGACGGACCGGACGTTCAGAGCTTTGTTGATGGCATACATCCTGATGACAAGGGCTACTACAAGATGGCAATATTATGGCTCCGTGGTATACAGGAAGCCCTTCAAAAAGGGTTCATTGATGGTTCAAAATACACGTTGTGACAATAATCTACGAGGCCACATCGTGGATTCGGCATCGGGTGCGCAGGACCGAAAACGCCATCTCGGCCCCGATGTGTTTCCCCGTTCCTCGGGTTAAGTATACCGGAATACATACCTAAATATTAAATGCCATAAACCGCAGTTTCTTGTCCCAAAAACGGTGATATAGATAGACATTTCTTTGAAATTTGATATATAGTCCTAACAAGTCGTATTGATGGCTATTGAAAAGCGCCCAAACATAATAAAGATGTGGTTTTTGAAATTTTTATCTCATGCAAAGACTGAAGACTCAGTAAATTCTTCGGCCATATGGAATTAGCGTATCCTACGGTATGTGACATATATGTTAGTATGTTGTTAGTATGTGTTAACTACGGAGTAGTCAACAATAGGATAGCCGGACCCACTCTACAGGGCGTGTCCGCACGCCTTGTCACGCCCTACGTAGGGTAGGAAAGGATCTTCATAATCCTCATTACCCAAATGACCATATATATATATATATATATATAAGTTCCCGAGAGAACGATGTAACATGGAAGATCAGTCATTTGCCTGTGATTAGTTGATTTGATTCAATATGGGTTCACACATGGATGACGTGCGTCCACTTGACGCAGCGCAATTAACATACGCCTATACGACTACCCCAAGAGAGGTACCCGATGTCGAAACCCTTGCCAGTAACAAAAAGACGATTTGTACCGACCACATGATTGTGGCGTCTTGGAATGTTGAGAGTGGCTGGTCTGTTCCAGAGCTCAAGCCTTACGGTCCTTTCAGCCTCCTTCCCAGCGCATCCTGCCTCCACTACGCCTACGAATGTTTCGAAGGACTCAAAGCTTACCGTGGCTATGATGGCAAGCTCCGAATGTTCCGAACCGACCGCAATGCCCGCCGCCTTTTGATGTCTGCCGAGCGGATTTCCCTTCCTCAATTCGACCCGGACGAATTGGAAAAGCTGATATTTGCATTGCTTTCAGTGGATAGTGCCAAGTGGCTTCCCAAGAGTCGCGCAGGAGACTTTTTATATGTCCGCCCAACCATTATCGGCACAGACTCCCAGCTTGGCGTTACACGGCCAACGGAGGCTCTGTTGTATATTATTGTCGGCTACATGGCTCGCATGGATACACCGACGGGCGGCAAACGATTATTGACGAACCCTGACGACACGGTACGCTCCTGGGTTGGCGGATTCGGGTATGCCAAAGTCGGTGCCAACTATGGACCGTCGGTTCTGGTTTCCCAGGAGGCCAGCCGTCAAGGCTACCACCAAATTCTGTGGTTGTATGGCCCTGAAGGCGATTGTACTGAGGCTGGTGGGAGCAACTTCTTTGTGATCTGGAAACGCGAGGACGGCAAGAAGGAGCTCATCACAGCTCCATTGGATGATCAGTTGATTTTGAATGGAGTCACTCGCCGAAGTTGCCTTGACTTGGCGAGAGAACGGTTGAAGGATGAGCTTGAAGTTACCGAGCGCAAGTTCACTATTGGTGAAATCCAGAAGGCAGCTACGGAAGGCCGACTCTTGGAGTCCTTTGCTGCTGGTACAGCTGTAAGTCATGGTTCTTCGTCCCGAGTCTGCGGAGACAATTAAAGGCTAATCGGTGTACAGTGGTTCATTACCCCTATCGCTCTGATTCACCACCGCGGAAAAGACATCAATATCCCAACTGGCCCTCATGGCACACCTGCCGAAATTACAGGGAAAATCAAGGGCTGGCTGGGCGATATGATGTATGGGCGCGTGGAGCATGATTGGGTCCGAGTGGTACCCGAGAAGGAGCTAAGGGTTTAGTTATGACTTTGCTTCGCAAAATGGATACAATAAAACATATTAGATTATGCTTAAATCTCACATTGTACGGAGTACTCCCCAGCAACAAGCAGAACAAAGCTCAGTGACAGCTTTGAGGTTCCATACCAGCCCCACATCCGATGATCGGCGGCAGTTGCCTTCATGTCTCATTGTGCCCAAGTGTACCAAGTGATGCCAATATATAATTTGCAGAATAAATTCCCTATCAAAACTGCTTGGCTCTTACGTGGCCGGTGTGTGAAGAAGGGAAGCAAGATGTCGAAGAAAACAGCCAACCCATGCGGAATCGACACCTCGGATATTAGGCAGAAGGTGTTGATACCTTAGGCCCTGGCTTGATCCGGTCACATGGCCATCATGTGACAGAGGGGAATTATGTTGTAACGAGCTCTATATATATCAATAGTTTTAAGCAAACAATATAACTACAGCTCATCGCCATTATCAATTGTAACCAGTGACTTCAACACAAGAGGCTTGTAGAGATGGCTGCTCCGCGGCGCCGAGACTCACAATGTACAGGTTCTGCGTGCTTCAAGAGTTCAAGCATCAGCGCACTAACCTTTCTTCAGATCTCGCAAATAATTATGAGCTGCCTGAAAATGGCGATTTTCTTGACTACCCGGAATGTTTCGATAGCGGATATGCACATATGCTGTTAAACCCCACGGATCCGCCGCATTGTGAGGAGAATGACGCAAATTATCATGTCACTGATGGGTTTGCCTCCAATCCTGCTATCTCCCCGTTGGAAAATGCTTCGGCACATGTGAAGTCTCTAGATCCGACCTTTGACTGGCTCACAGCCAAACATGATAACTCAAGTGCTGAACAACATGATGACTTTGATTGGATGAACTATGGACTGTTAGAATCGTTGCCATCGATTCAACCTAGCGAACCTGATCCATTGTTCTCCGGCAATTCCAATTCGCCCGCTATGCCATCAATTTATGGAGCCATTGAGAACAGAGAATTGACCTCCACACCACCCTTGCCGCAACACTCACTACGGGGGTACGGCGAACTTCCTCGGCGGAAAAGCAGGTATTTGATACGGAAAACCAATCAACAGGCAAATGCTATCTTCATACCACCTACTGCAGGTCCTGCGGATCCCTTGGAACGCTGGAAAGAATCTCCCCCGAAGGCGAAGCAGCAAGTTTATCGGCCATTAAGAATGCTCTTGAAAATCCATCGAGCTACTCAGGTGTAAATCAATTACCCACGACGCCTGGCTCCGGGGCCAGCAATTTGTTCCAAATCCATCGTCGGCCAGCATCCCGAGAACCCTCAACAACAAGTGGAGAAAGTGCTACTAGTGCATCATCTCGGCGCTCTAACCGATCCAGGGAGTCTGCTTTGTCTAATGGCAGCCAAGCCGCGCCAGACAAGGCATCTGCTGGAATTCGAAAAAAGCAGACTCGCACAACTAGAAAAAAGCGAAGTTCGGCCAACCAACCCCGCATATTTTGCTGCACATTCTGCTGTGATAAATTCAAGAACAAATTTGACTGGATGCGTCATGAGAAGTCCCTTCATCTCGATCTTGAGAGTTGGGTGTGCGCGCCTTTTGGAGGCTCTGTGGTATTGACATCAACAGGCCGCGCTCATTGTGCCTATTGCAATCAGCTGGATCCAACATTGAAGCACCTTGAAGAGCACAACCATAGACCATGTCAGCAACAGATACGTTCATTTCGGCGAAAGGATCACCTAATTCAGCATCTGCGCCTCTCCCATCGCCTCGAAACCATTCCGTTAATCGACGATTGGAAGCGTGTTGCTACGGAAATTCCTTCCCGTTGTGGATTTTGTGACGGCCAGATGTCCAACTGGGATGAAAGAGCCGACCATCTGACATTCCACTTCCGCAAAGGCTTTACCATGGCCAACTGGAAAGGTGATCATGAGTTCCCGCCAGATATTGCTGCGAGAGTCACACATAGTGTCCCGCCATACATGCTCGACTTCGAATCGCGAACTCTCGTGCCTTTCTCCGCCACGAACGGAGCTGTGAATGACCATCTCTCCCAAATGCTGTCTCGTGCCACTTTTCTGGATGCGGCAGGAGAACCTCAGATGCTGCCGGAAGCTCCAGAGCCAGATCTACGGCCGGTTCAAGGGGATAATTTGGATTCCTACACGGAAGTGCTCACTCGTCATTTAAGTCATTATGCACAAAGGATGATGAGAGATGGTGTCATTCCCACAGACGAAATGTTTCAACTCGAGGCAAGAAGACTTTTGTTTGATTCTGAAGACCAATGGAACCAGACGATGGCCGACAACAATGAGTGGTTGGCTAAATTCCGAAGAGAGCAGAGCACTCAGGGTCATCTTCAGACCCCCGAGCAACCTTCTATGGATCGGTAGTACACGACGCATACGAATATCATAATTACAAATAAAGTCACGCCAACCGCAGGTTCGACTTCAATAAATCTGGGTCTATCTATTCATGCGGCTCTACAGCAATGCCACTTTTCTGCCTAATTAATCTGCTGTACTTGATGAAAAAAAAGGGTATCTAAGTCAATGGGCCAGGAATCCCAAAAGTGAGCTAGCCCAGTGAATACCTAAATTGGTGCACATTAGGCTCGCCGCGAATGGCAGCACGATTGCCATTATATCCCTTGCCGCGCTAGACGCTGCCTGTGCAGAAGCCGAGGACCTTCTCTATTGGTACAAAGACATCCAGATCTGTATCGTTGGTTTCTGAATCGCAAGAGCAGGCATCAGTCAACATGTGAGACTGTAGAATGTGTGTATATTCTAGCTGGCTACCCCGTGCGTTCACGAAAATCCAGAAAACGAGAGAGTTGAAGCAAGCACAAAGACAAAGACACCTTCATCCTTCCTAGCGTGTTCCTTGACCAATTCCTCTCTCAGCTCGAGGGCCTCGCCCAGATCCATTTGTGTCGCAGACTCAGCGCCATCACCTCTTGTCCAACCAGTCTGCTGGGTGGGACTTTCCGCGTAGAGCAAAGCCGGTAGGTCGGATCGACAAGAGACACAGTGAGAAAACGGCAGTGGTCGGGCTTAGTCTTTTCCTGAAGCTGTAATGGGCCCATTCGGTACTGGAAGGCGTTGGGGAAGGAGATCAGCCGGCCCGGGGGCATCTTCACCTCGCCGAGCTGTTGTTAGGCTGGACTATACTGAATGTCCTCAAATCCGCAAAGCCTTCCTATATACTTGACATCCCATAGGGCATACTTCAGGATTAGGTCATCGATTTCATCTGCAGCACGTTCCTCGTTGTCCGAATCGTCCGCGCCGACTCGGTCATAGACCCAGGTACGGTCCCCTCCTATACACCTCTGCCGGAAGCTGATTTGCGGCTCGGATATGTTTTCCGAATCAAGCGCGTAGATGGCGTTGGCGACTATACGTTCGTTTGCATTTCCTTCGGTGTGCCACTCCTCGCCGGGGAAGGATGGCGTCTCAGGATCTAGCTCGATGCTGTGAATCCGGACTACAGCCTGGGGACCCTGGTCTCGAAACTCATCCTGCAATGCAAGCGTGTAGAACTGGTGATCGTCGGGGTCCTCTTCCTTTGGTTTATACATCCATTCGTAGGGTGTCAACCAAGGGTTTGCTTGAAAAAAATTCAAACAGTTCATAATCAGGACTGCAGACGTAATCGAAGTGCGCTGGACCAACGATTGATTTTCCGGTCCTCCCTGCTTTCAAGTCCTCGTACGAGTACGCAGTTCCTGGGTCCGAGTGCTCAAAGACAAATGTACATCCGTACTTGGCCAAAGCTGTGCGAAGCAACCCCCAGCGGGCCTCCCAATCCTCCGGGATCCTTTGAGTTCTGACCTGATCCCAGTATACCTTATCAGATACGCCTCCACTTGGGCACACATAGTTTCGTATTCCTCCGCAGAGAGTTTACCCTGAATGTAAGGAGAAACCGAGATTCCTCAAAGCTTAAAATGCCTTAGTTGGTGTAAGAGATCCACTTACGTGGATCAATAACCCTGGTGAACAACGAATTATTGAAAGTCATTACTCCACACGAGCCATTTCTATTGCACACGAGAATATACAATGTTTCGTTACCTGCTATTGGTACTACTCCTCTCCCAGTCCAATCATTCTAGGTTTAATCCAGTCTCGGGATAGTCTAGAGGCGACCAGGAAATGCGTACGACGGTTCTCAGCCAGATACCCACGCTGTCCCAGTGAGGGCTGGTATAATTGGTTTATCGTCTGATGGGTGGGTCCTGCAGTGGACCTTGATGCAGCGATCGAGGATGGAACTAACACGGTATTTATGACATTCGGCGACGATCTGGTTGTGAGTGAAGAGGCGGCGGACTCGATCACACGAGCACTCAAAGCCGATAGTGATCATGATTGGCCGACAAGACGCCGGCAATAGGCAATGAATAATACACTTGAGATCTAGATCAAAATACCTGACCCATATAGAACGTAGTCAGAAGACCGAGGACCCTTATAGTCACCAAGCCAGGGTGGCCGCCAGTTGACAGCCAGAGTGCTCGCCAGGATCATGGGCCATGGTCGTATCCAATTTTAAATTTTAGAACGCGGGCAATAAGAGCGGCAACAGAAAGAAGGGCTAATCATTGAATATTATTAGCCAAGCCGCACTCTCTACCTCAAATTTCAGCCCCCTTCCGTACTGTAGGGCCCTTTTTACTTCTACTCCACTCATATGCACTCACTTACGAGGGGTTGAGATTAGACATTCCATGGGCCAATGTCAATTTCTAATTGGGATGAAGAGGATTGACCACATCGACATTGATCTACAGTAACGAGATCTCATGGATCTTCGGGGCTTCTCGGCCTCTATCTATAATACTACTGGGATATTTATGTTGTGCGATGTGATATGCATCGCCAACACTGCAGTATGTAGGCACGCCAAGTACTAGTGACAAATCACCATGCACACATTCTTTCCTGGCCTTTGGGGCTTGGCTGAATCTATCTTTCGAGGGGGGCAGTTCTTCAAGTGACCTCTACCCTGTCATGCCAGCTCGGCCGGGAAGTGACGCTAATGCAAACGCCCCTATTTGCTTCTTTTTGGTCAGTAATACCAATACCAGTCATTAATATTACCCAACTGCTAATATACAACTCACATCTTTTTCTATATTCAATGATTATATTCATTAAAAGAATACGTTATTGGATGCAAGCATTAACTGACGGCCGGTAAATAGGCTCGGCGCAATGCCATATGTGATCACTGTTCTAGAGCTAATGGGACAGAATACTTGAGGTCCTGATAAGATTTAAGGTATTCGGTTCATTTCGGGGTGGGTCGAACTTCAGATGTGGAATGTCGATCATTGACATTAAAGATCTTCGATCGGCGATGAGCTCTGCAGGGCACCAATAGCGCCAAAATCGGGTCACATTTTTCACTATTCCATCAACTTCCCATATATTTTTGTACTACATTACGATGTCAAATTTAACTGAAAATATCGAGAATCGAATCCAAGAAGCTGTCAAAGCTTACTATCAATCTACCAAGCCCAATATTACTAAATTACCAACTAGATCTCGCTCCTCCTCAGTAAGGATTCTTGGCAGGCCAGATCGCTTGCATGACTGGTTATCCCTACCATTTAGGGCCTCTTGCTTGCATGTGTATAATTAGTAGGCGGTAGGATGTAAGCGGTGAAAGGGGTGGTCTAATACTTCTCGACAGGCACTGTACCATTGAACTAGAGACCAGCATCTCGTTACAGCCAAAAGGCACCGAGTTTTGCCAGCTCAAAATTCGCCGCAGATCGTCTCTACCGGCGCCCTCTAGTCTTCCTCTACAGAATGTCCCGCCTGCCAGCGCTTTTCCTCCGCGCTCAATCGGTTGCTACTGGCGCCGTCGGTGCCTCTGTCCTGCTGTTCCCGAAGATCGTCGCGGGCCCTGGAAAATTGCTCTCGGCTGCCCCCTCCGTCGCGCTCCATATGATCGGGTACGTGCTAAGATGGGGTGCGTTATGCGAATAAGGCTACATATTGACACGACTTGGGACATGCGCGCAGGCTAAGCGCACTTATCCAGGGCTCGGTGCAGCTTGTGCTCTCGTGGATGGCGCCGCGGCAGCTGCAACGGAATGTGCTCTACACCATGGCCCCAACAAAGTTCCTGGCTGCGTTTTTGTTTTGGCGCGATGGGCTAGGCGCTGTGGCCGCTTTGGAAGTGTTGAGCGGGTTATTATTTTGTATGATATGATATTCTCGGCAAACGAAACATGGACGCGAGGTTCAACCCCTTCAGTATCGCCGTATAATTCGTACAATCAATACCGCCGTTGATAAATGATATGGTCTAAGCGATTCCTCTATGTCAGTCCGGGAATGATGATATAAAACTCACCGAATAGGGTGCGGCTTGTGCAGGCTAAATTAAATAGCACTCCTGATTTAATACGGTTATGCTTACCGGTGTTGGAAGGGCTCATCACCACCGGAGCAACAGTCTTCTGGAAGGCCTCATGCTCCAAGCCATGCATTAATCCCAACAACCTGTACGTCTGCTCAACTTCACGGCACCAGTTTACTTGCTTCGGCGCCAACGAACACGGAGTCAAAATTAATGCGAATCTAGTATCGCTTTACTGAGAGGAATGACAGGAGTAGAGCGAGAAAGGTCTGCGTTTCCAGACTTCTACGCTTGACATAATATGATATGATGCTGCTGATGATAGTTGCCTCCATTTCCGACTCAATGCCCGTCTCAATCCTGAATTGAGGCAGCGACAAGCTCGCCTCTCTGTCGGTCCCTCTGTTGGTCCTTGTGGCAGCAGCATCCTCGTCGCTCATCCTCGGGCAACGCCTGCGCTGCACGAGTTTCCAGTATTGGGCCCCAGTTGACGCTGGTGTACGGAATACATCGTATATCCCTGCGGCTGAAACTGACTGCCCCTCCCTGCCCTTAGCATCGAGTGGTTGGGTCGAAAGTGTCTTACCCACAAAGCGGTGTAATAAACTTCCTGGCTTGTGCCGCGCAGGCCGGTAGATGAGGACGCGCACTATGCACTGCTATGGCACCTGCTATGGCACGCTGTACCCTCTAATTAAACAGACTAAAAGAGAAAACAGTGCAATATATTACTTAAATCCTAAAAAGATTTGGCGTCACCTGGTCAAAAGGAGTACGTACATCAAAACGAGTATTCTCGCAATGGCTCCTTGTGCGTCAGCTGGTGGGGTTCAAAAAGCAAAAACCAAAGCAAAAACATAGTATCCCGCAGAACAGGATGCCGACAACAACTTGGTCGAAGGTTAGGACCCTGTCCCCCGCAGGCAATTTCGGCCGTTATTGGTCTTTTCCTTGTGATGCGCCCCTGCCTTGTTTGCTCTCCATTCGCGCCGCCTCCGGGCAATTGACTGGCTCAACATACGCACCTGGAACATAGCGTCCCGTCTTGTTTGTGTGCCACATGTAGACACCCTGCACCATGACGCCCAGATCAGCCGCGTATTCGTTGGCCGTCTGCTGCCAGGGACCAAAATCGGGTAAACTCTCTTGTAGCCGGGTAAATTCGCTGAGGGTCTCGTCGTGGATGGCCAGGGCTCGTACCCAGGCCTGCGACAGCGTGCTCAGCCCATACTCGCGCTGGACGACCATAACGAGGTTGACCACGTCGCCGCCGCGGGCAAGCTCCTTCGGAAGCGAGATGAAGTCGTTGTGGTAGCCGATAAGGAGGCTTGCCAACTCGTGCATCCGGAGAATGGCCGGGTGCCGCAGCACATCGTCAGGCAGGAGACGATAGTTCTTTTGCATGCATAGGTACTTCGCATAGCAGAGCCCACCAGATGTTTGCCGACGGAGCGTGGTGTACTCATTGAGCGGTGGCGCCGTATTAGCTGCATTGTGTTGCTTCTCTGCGCCATAGCCCATCAACAGTCCTACAATGGAGTCGACGAATTGTTGGTACAGATGCAGAGGCATCCCGCACGCGAGGGCATCTTTCCGCAGCAGGTACACCTGGCGAAAGAATCCCTCGTAAGGCGATTCCTTCTCATCTACACCAAGAAGAAGTGCTGTGGTTCTGTGGCAGACTTGCTCGAGCTCGCCAGCGTCCGCCTTGTCTAAGAAGTCGTCGATGATGGCCAAGCTTGACGTGAAGCGTGCCACTGGTCGCAGCTCCTCCAGAGTCAGCGATGGAAATGCGCGGGCGGCAATGTCGCTTAGCCTGTGTCGCTTATACGCAGTGCGAGCAGACTGGGAACGAAAGTCACAGTCGGCGTCGATCCAATGGTAATATTCCGATGCCAGATTGTCAATATGCTGGCTGACTTGGTTTGGGAACGGGTAGCGAGGGCGAGGCAAGTACGATAGAGCTTTATACAGAAGTTCCTCCTGGGTCGGAGCCATGATGACTGATGCACAATGCCTCGGTTATGCGTTATGGGAGAGCAACCAGCTGCTATGATGCGGCGATGCAGACACTGGGTGATTCGGGCTTGATGATATCGAAATAACGAGGGTTGGTTCGTGGGTCCCTCGTTGCATCGTCGGGATCTATGATTAATAAGAGGTTCTCGATAGATGCCGTGGCAAATTGGGTCAAGCCACGCCAGACCTAGTAAGATATTGACGCAGTGGGTTCCATTCACTTCGGCCGAGAAGAAGCAATATGTGAGGCTTATGCTTTCGTAGGGAAGGCGATGTGCTGCATGGTACCGACGCAAGGTTGATCAATGTTAGCGGCCGTCCGACGAAGAAAATAAACTCCGTGAGCGTACTACATGTAACCGTCTGCATAGATGGGGAGCGGGGACTCTTCAGCGGATGAAGTGAGAGACGCAAGGAGAACTGCCTTTATGTTAACGCAAGGGATACATTAGCGTTTACATGCAGGACTGCGGGTCTGCGGGGTGCTCTATTAAATGCAATGTTACCATCGAATTGACGACGACGAGTTCTCCGCTAGCTGCCTTCGCTGAAACTATATCTACTCAGCGCGAAGACCACCCGTCGACTCTTCTGGGGCGTTTCGGTATTCGGCTCCACTGCTTCCACCGTGACGAGACCATTTGGAGTGCACTCCTGTCTCTAGAAGCAATGGAACTGTCCATTGGAACCGCCTACACGGCCTCCAGCACGGAATATGCTGGTCTGACTTTGTTTGTGGCCATTATTTCTCTGTATGCTGTCATTGTTGCCGGTTATCGTATCTGGTTTCACCCACTCTCTCGATTTCCTGGCCCACTGCTCGCCAGGGCGTTCTATGGTTATGAGTTCTGGTATGACGTTGTTCGCAAAGGCCAGTTCACACGGAAAGTTGAACAGCTGCATAAATTATACGGTAGAGTGCCACAGTTATAAGCGACGAAATGTACCATCTTTAACACTGTCCCTATCCTAGGCCCCATTGTACGGGTGAATCCAGACGAGCTACATTGCAATGATCCCGCTTTCATCGATATATTGTATCGGACAGGAAAGGGAAGGCGAGACAAATCTAGTCATTATTTAGCTGCATTCCCCAGAGGGTAAGTTGTTTCTACAATGGCATGTTACTACTAATTCTAATTCTTGAGCTCTTTCTTCTTAGTGTGCGCCTGGTAATTACTCCTTTTTCGACGCATCGGTATTGCTAGTTATTAATGAGTATGCAAGGCCACCGTTGGCACAGCAAACCATGATGAGCATAAGCAACGCCGAGTTCCTGTCGCAAAATATTTTTCCCGTTCCAGAATAGCGAAACATGAGGACATAGTACACGAAAAAGCACAACTTCTTTGCGCCCGGCTGCTGGCCTGGGACGACAATGCTCCCTTTGAACTAACCTCCGCCTACTCCTGCTTCACAACAGACACGCTGACCAGATATGCCTTTGGCCATAGCCTAGAAAACCTCAAGAGGTCCGGCTGGAAGCCAACTTTCAAGGGCACTGTCGACAAGATGACGGGTCTGTTTTACCTTAGTCGCCATTTGCCATTTCTAGCACATCTGGCAGAATATTTACCGCTGTTCGTTTCCAAAAACGCAAATTACCATTTTATGGAAGCATGCTAACTCAAGAAGGAATATCTGCCGGTACATCTCCACTGATATCACAGCGCTGTTGGAGCTGATTCGTGTCTGTAACATCGCGCAACTCCATGGAAGAACCTCCACTAAATACAGGCCTACAGGTTATTATACCGCAACTTGTGTATGAGAGTGTTGACACAGAGTCCGACAAGGTCGTTCACCCAAACATTGTCGACGCGCTCCTCGAGTCAGACGGGCCCCCAAGAGAGAAGTCCATTGAAAGACTCACTGGCGAGGCGGTCGCAGTAGTTCTAGGTGGCACGCACAGCATATCTACCGTCCTGTCGATTGCCACATTTCACCTCCTTCGAGATACCGAGCGCCTGGACAGGCTGCGCAGAGAGCTGCGCAGCGTGGTACGAGACGAGACAGCATTGCCGCGGTGGTCTACCCTGGAGCAACTACCGTACCTTAACGCGATAATTCAGGAAGCCTTACGTTTGATGCACGGAGTTGCAAGCCGCATAACGCTTGTCGCACCAGACGAGGACCTAGTTTACGTGGCAACCGATGATTCGTCACATGTAATTCCACGTAGCTCCTCGATCGGCATGTCGTCTTACATGATACATAACGACTCGAAGCTTTATCCGGATCCGACAGCATTTCTGCCGGAGCGATGGTTGGACGAGAATGGGACCCGGGATCGGGAGCTCGACAAGTATATGATGTCCTTCTCCAAAGGTCCCCGACAATGTGTGGGCATGCAGTGAGTACAAACCAAGAAATAAGGCAGCACCGACATATGCCAGCCAGGCTAACCATCCGCTTAAGCCTAGCGTATTGCGAGCTTCACATTGGTTTGGCAGCATTGGCACTACGTGCACTACCCCACATGAAGCTGCACAATACCTCAGTTTCGGATGTCGCGTATGACCACGATCAGCTTATTTCTATGCCAAGAACGGGTAGCAGAGGCGTGCAGATTACCATCTATCAATAAATAGTGTAGTAAGGATTCTAGCGACGGTCAATTGCTCGGATTTGGTTGCTTCTCATTTTCTTGGGTCTTTTTCGGTATTGAAAAACGTTCTTTCGATTCAGCTACACCATCCATGAGTGCTTTCTCTCTTCAGACTAGCTAGATGCTTACCGCGGCTCTCATCCGTGACGTAATGAGTTCAGAGCTCAGATATTCTAGTATGGTTGTACGTAGCCACCATTCTAGCTAGTTGGGTGACAAAAGCGCTTAGTTTGCCTTTATGAGGTTGGATTTACCCATTTGGTGCTCAGTGCTAGCACTGATTAACGCCCGCAGTTTTTTGATGGAGTATTTACCAGCACCTTCCTAGGAACCAAAAAGGTCCTTAAGCCACGTGCAGTTCCCAATACCCCAGCATCCCCCAGGCCTTTCACGAAAAATAACTGGTGACGCGCGCTGCCGCACGCTTAAGCCCTGAAACGATTGCAGCAAAATATATTTTTGCCGAACATATCATTTCTACTGTACAGTAAAGAATTAAAAGACAGAATTGAAGCATGCTACAGTCGTTTTCGAAATCAGTTATACCGTGATACTCTTTCGAGTTGTTTCTCCCGAGACACGATGTTGGGGTTGCTGGCGGACCTGCCTATTCCGGAAACGAACCGACCCGTTACTGATTAGGAAATTTTCTCAACTTTCTCTCGATGGCAAGCTAGATGATATTCATGACCAAAGCTTTTGTAGTCCGGTTAGATAAATGGTATAAAAGATCTTTAGTCTGCTTTTCGGTCTTGCGTTGTTATCTATTTGTTTTCTGGTTCTTGGGTTATTCAGTCTATTTAACAGCACAGCCATGCCTATTGGAGTGCAAGATAGTCCGCACACCACGATATATGAAAGTCAAACCCTACAACATGAAGCCCTTTCATCTTCATCTGAGTCATCTTGCCAAGTCAACGACGAAAAATGGAATCACCCGCGATCTAATATAGCGAAGACACTGGCAACTTTCTGGAGCTTCCTAATAATGGGAGCAAATGACTCCGCATATGGCGTAAGATCCCACCTATATATCTACCCATGGCAGTTTGAAACTTATATTAACCCAATACAATGATTCAGCCACTCATCCCATACGTACATCAACCCCTAAGCCTCAAATTCCCCTCCCCTTCTAACAATCTCCCAGCTCGAATCCTATTACAACCTCTCGTACACAATCGTCTCCCTAGTCTTCCTGTCCCCACTACTAGGGTATGCAACAGCCGCAATTGTGAACGAGAGAGCACACTGTGCCATAGGCCGACGAGGCGTAGCCTTCGTCTCATCGTTGTGCCATCTGATAGCCTACATCTTAAACTGTGTGCATCCACCATACCCAGTCCTCGTTGTGTCATTCATATTCGCAGGTCTGGGAAATGGCCTCGCGGACTCGGCATGGAATGCTTGGATTGGAAATCTCCATGATGCGAATCAATTACTCGGTCTGCTTCATGGATCGTATGGTGTAGGTGCTGTTATCAGCCCTCTCATTGCATCTCTACTTGTTGCAGATGCTGGATTGCCGTGGTATTATTTTTATTACATTATGGTAAGTTATACTTTGTCCAATATTTTCTGGAATCGTTATAACTCATGGTGACAAAACTTTCTAGATTGGAGGCGCTACAATCGAGATTTTCGTCTGTGTTGCGTGTTTCTGGGATTCTACAGGAACGTCATTCCAACTCGCTAAGAAACAACAACCTGGTGATACATCCGAGAAAGCAGGCTTGCGCAGAGTTTTATCCACAATGCCATTTGCGCGAGTCACTTGGATATGCTCAATCTTCTTACTCGGATACGTTGGCGTCGAAGTAGCACTAGGAGGATGGGTCGTGACATTTATGAAGAAAGTGCGGCATGCCGCACCGTTCGCTAGCAGCATGACATCTACGGGATTCTGGCTCGGTATAACACTTGGACGGGTTATTCTTGGATTTGTGACTCCTTTGATCGGCGAGAAGATTGCCATCTCGGTAGGCTCTCCCAGTATTTCTTTTGCATTCAAGTTACACCACAAGCTCACTCTTGAGTAGATCTATATCTCGCTCGAGATCGCATTCTGTCTCATCTTGTACCTGGTTCCGAACTTCTATGCTGGCGCAGTCGCGGTATCCCTGCAGGGGTTCTTTCTGGGTCCATTGTTCCCAGCGGTTGTGATTGTTACCACAAAACTCTTGCCAAAACACTTGCATGTCAGTGCCATTGGGTTTGCGGCAGCCTTTGGCGGTGGTGGTGCGGCTGTCCTTCCGTTTATTGTTGGTGTGCTTGCGCAGGCTAAGGGTGTGGAGGTTTTGATGCCGTTTATCATAGCGCTTTCGGGGGCAATGTTGCTTCTTTGGAATTGTCTTCCAAGAGTCCCGAGAGATAGAAGTGCATCGGCTAATAATGACCGTGAGGCTTGCTAGGTATGATATGGAGTATCATATGCCAGGAACCGCGAGGCCAGGAGGTACAGGACGGTTCAGCCAGGTGTGGTGTGAACACGTCTAGTAAATAATTGTGTAGAGACCATTACAAGCTATAAATATTGAATTTCAGCCAGATAACGGAACTCGAAGTAGCATATTGGATTTGTTCTGGTGAGGAAATGCAAACCGCGGCAGAGATAGTTGTTCTGGATAGTGGTAACAGACTATCTAGGAAAGATGGCTAGGGTGGTTTTCCAATCCCAGGAGAGATGCTATCTCCGGGAAATATTCTCGACTGTAAGTCAGATGCTCATGATGCCTGATATCAGATACCCGACGCTTCTTGGGCATTTTTCTGTCGATGCGCTCAGGGGATTGTGATAGTACTCAATCATTAAACATTCCGTTTATTGTCGTGAGATATATACCACGTAGTGACGAAATATGGAGATAATTTCGATATGAAATTTTATAAAATGTTCAGTATACTTGTCAAACTTTTTAACCTTTCCGCAAAGTATCGCCAATAGCTGGGCTTAAAGTGAACCCAGCATAAACACAACTTCGCATGGTGTATTTTTACATCATGATCTAGATCTAGGACATCAATCGAAAAAATTACCAGTTGGTGTGCCGAGAGTGGAGATATTCTGGCACTGACAATCTCAGAGTTCGTGCCAGAGCGTCGGAAAGACAGTCCTCGGCCCACGTACTCCACTAATTGTCGTGCTACGGTCACAGACCCCTCCTGAGAGCTAGTGATCAACATCGCCGATCGCAATTCTGCATCTCAATGTCATGAAGTTTATTCATCTTAAGTGGGAGATACCCGAGATCAAAGGGATATGAATGTGATGATGAAAGCTATTGTATAGCCCACGTTATTAGAGAGCAATTTGACATCGTTCCTGACGCTGACAAGATTCAGAGAGCTGGGCTGAGCTGATAAAAAAAATGGGGCGTCTTCATCTCTTCACATATGGGGTCCACGATGAGATCATGCCCCGCGTCGTGTTTTTCGATCAACAGACAGCCCACCAGCTACGTATTTAACCTAAACCCTTGCCGCTGCGCACGACAGTTAGTATCTGCAACAAATCCAACCCTGTGAATATATCAGTACAAATTACCACCATGGGTAAACCTACAACCCTCGACATCGAATATGCCAGTCTCATGGCCCGAAACCCAGAAGGAACCTTCTTATACATCCCACCGACCTTCAAAAAGTTCCACCCAGGCTCGGTCGGCTTCTTTGACGAGAACGGTGGCTGGAACCAGATCACCGATCTCAGCAAGGAAGGACAGCCCAAGATAGATGGATTCACGGCGCTCGGTCGGACACTAAGCCGCGAGGAGCCCACGGCATCGATGTGGAAGACCCGGTCCTCTGAGAGCGAAGATGGGGATCATATCCGACTCTCGGGAGGATTGTCGGCTGCGGCTGCGGCTGCCGTTCCTATTGATGTGAACGGTGATGGTACGCACAAAAACAGCGCTTCGGGGAAAGCGGGTCTTGTGACGGGCAGTCTGGTTAAGCGGGAGAAGATCCTGGCTCCGTTTGGGAAACCTGTTTCGAAGTGGGCGTCGGAGAATGCTAAGGCGCTTCTTGCGTCGGACTTTTCGACGGATATTGAGAAGAATGGACTTTGGATTATTCAGTCTGCTTGGGTTACTGATGAGTGTGCTATTCATATGACCAATAGCAAGGATAAGGAGATTGATGTCGGTTTGGATATCGCGGCTACTGGTGTTGGGAGTGTTGGTGGTGGGGTTGGGACTTTTGAGAAGTTGAGGAATGAGGGTTGGACGACATATCAAGCTCAAGAGGTGAGTGTGGTTTGCCTTTTTTGGATGAGACTGTTTGAATTGCTAATTCTATCCAGGGGGACGAGGGACTGGTCATCTCATTCAGCGGATCACACTATAAGCCGCGTATGTTCCAGAAATTCCGAAGTCATGTGAGTTTTGTTCCTGCGGCCATTGAGCTATAACAGTCACGTTGTCGATTTTCAGCTAACCATGTTAGCCTCTCAAACAATCCACGGCCGACAGCTACCTGCGCGGAGGGGGTGAGCTCGTCAATGAGTTAGATTTCGAGGTTGAGAGGATTGGTATGAGCAACAGTGATCTCGAGGAAGAAGAAGAAGCCGAGAAGAAGGAAGAAGAGAAGATGCGGGCGGAATTAAAGGCGGAAAAGATTGCGATCTTGGGGAACACTAGTGTCAGTTATGAAGTTTTGTCGCTTTAACGTATGGTAGGCTGGATTTATGTCTATGGTAGCTATTATAGGATATTAACAGTCAACTTTCCAAAGTCACGATATTACAGATGT